ATGTGGGGCAAATAAACTAGTTTAAAAACCCCTGCTCGCGACCTGTCTTCGAGAAGGCTTTTCATTTTAAACTGGTTCATCTTAGCCGTCTGAACGGGTTGGCTTAAAAACCCCAGCTCCATCTTGCTTTGAGCATGCGCAGTACGCAGTTAGTTACATTCCTGTGAAAATATTGGGGTTAGACAGTGCCAATGTTATCGAAAGCATGTGAGAACCGAATAAAGAATGTGAAGCTACCCATGCGCAGTTAACTCTAACCTCCGACCGAAGATGTCAGAATAGTTAAACTGGTTTGGCTTATAGTACGTGTGAACGCAACACGATGCTGTCTTAAAAACCCCAGCGATTATGAACTGGTTTCAAAATAAGCGTCTGAACGGGCTAATAGTGTCATTATGATATAAGATTTGGGCTTAATACGTATTGACACTTTTTGTCTAAAGATAAGATGTGTGATTCTTAATAATTAGTTTTCATTGTTCTGATTACTAATGCTATTAACTATGGCGTGCCTATCTGACGCGACAGATATTGCTGCACCTTATAAAAAGCCTAGTTGAGAATCAGACCTAGGCAGACCTGGAGGGAACCGGGAGAGACCGGAGAAGAGAGGTCCTGTGAGGCCTAGGGGAAGCAGCTATAGATAGACGTTACTATACCCAACCAAATGACGTTCACATGTAGAATTGTACCTGTAAATATGTTACCCAGTATTAAAATATCTTTTTAATAAATAAGAGTTATGTATTCTATCGCAGTATATATTTACCAAGAACAGTTCTTTTGGCATTTACAGTAAATATCGGTTGATTCGTTTGTCAAGTAAAGAGAGAGAGAGAGAGAAATGGGGTTTAACGTCCACTCGACACAAACTAGGTCATTTCGGGACTAACATATGGTTCAATTTTATTTCCATAATTCGCTTGCGCGTAGGGGTCTTTAGCAGTGGGAGGAAACCGGAGGACCCGGAGAAAACCCACGAGTTTTGAAAGGCAACCCTACTCCTTGTCACGTACAACCGGGGATTCGAAACCGCGCCAGTTGACTCAGTGACAGGCCTTACGATACAGCATACACGTGATGAAAATTTGTGTCGAAAGTTACCAAAAACTTCAGTTTTTATTGGGATACATCGGCGGATTATTCAGATACCCAGTCGCCTATATTGTTATTCAAAGGGTCAATATATCAACTCCAGCTCCCCTTCAACCCGCTTTGCCAAAATATTCAGTCTTGGTGTGGTTTGGTATCCAGTCTACAAATCCAAGATGGCATCTCCCAGTGAATATGGTTTTTCGCAAATTCTCGATCTAATATGTCGATCGTGATTATTTAAACATTTTTTTTCTATGAAAAATGAGACATTTCAATTCAAATGATGAAAGTCGACAATTATACCGAAAGTAAAGGGGCATAACTCTTATCATTATTTAAGCAAACGATTCATACCACAATTAAAAATCACGTGTCAACAAAATATTCAAATCCCGTACGTAACAACAATAGGTGCACCTCGATATTTTTGATAATTAATTCTCCCGACTTCATTAGCCCAGTTGAAGCAGAAAAGTAGGACGTTAAACCCCATTTCATTCCATTCATTCTATTTAATTCCCGTATGGTATTCAAATTTATGTTATTTATATTCGTACAAAATTACGTGTTTTCGTAATACATTGATTGAATGAAAGCTTGCCAATCCTGCTTCGGCTTCAAATTCACAGCAGTAATATTCCTTCAAAATAACGTGTCTTCGTTTATATGACAGCAAATGAATGAAGGACTTCCGAAATAAGAATAGTTTGTGATGTCAAAACATCGTTTTCTCCTTTATAAAATGTCGACAAAATATTCAAATCCGCACGTAATAAAAATAGGAACACCTCGCTATTTTTGTACACCTACATTTTCGTGTGGGCGTATATTGTCGTCACCCCTGTCCGTCCACATTTTCGTGTGAACGTATATTGTCGTCGCCCCTATCCATCCACAATTTGTTTATGGACACTCTACAGGTCACAATTTTTATCCACTTTCAACAAAACTTGAAATATAGGTTTATGTCCCTAAGATCTCGCTTACTGGGGAGTAGGCACGATGGGTCGACCAAACCCTGTAAATATGAACTCTATTGGCCGACCCCCACCTTCGAACCTTCTGCATGGTTTTCTCGTGGAATGGCTCTTAATACTATAGATCTTTGCCTTTTCAGTCAGCATTCCCATTATATTCTAATACCTGCAGTGGGTGAGATATGGATAGAATAAAATGACATACCTAAATTGAGCTATTTTCGTACCTTGCAGCACTAAGTCCCTGTACCAAAAACCTCTCAATGAAAGTCCATCAAACTTTAAGAATGTATACTCACTAACCATATCTGCTACCCTATATAGTTTCATTAATCTACTCGCCGTAGTTTAGTTGTACCCCATAATTAAACCAGCGGCTGCCAGGCAGGATACGCCCACATTTTCGAGAGATGGATAGAGAACAAGCTAACAAGAAAGTGATTTTTCCTACAATCAAGGGCCATAATTCAGGAAGTTACAGTCTGATAGGCGCGAATATCGAAGGAACCAAGATCTTTAGGTTATAAACTTACATTTCAAGTTTCAACAAAATCAGATAAAAATTGTGACCTCTATAGTGTCCACAACCTTGATATACCATACTTTTACGCTATTTGAGAACGAACGGCGGCCATTTTGTCTGTCAATTTTGGGCTGATTTTCACGAAATTCGAACTCAGCCATTCTTAGGGTTTAACGGTGATATAATAAAACGTTTTTTTAAATCGGACAAAAATTATGACCTCTATAGGGTCCACAAGCTAAAAACGCAATTTTTGGTACAATCAGGGGCCATAAGTCAGGAAGTTACAGTCCGATATGCGCGAATATCGAAAGGAACCAAGATCTTTGGGTTATAAACTTACATTTCAAGTTTCAACAAAATCGGATAAAAATTGTGACCTCTATAGGGTCCACAACCTTGATATACCATACTTTTACGTTATTTGAGAACGAACGGCGGCCATTTTGTCTGTCAATTTTGGGCCGATTTTCACGAAATTCGAACTCAGCCATCCTTAGGGTGTAACAGTGATATAATAATACGTTTTTTTAAATCGGATAAAAATTATGACCTCTATAGGGTCCACAAGCTAAAAACGCGATTTTTGGTACAATCAGGGGCCATAATTCAGGAAGTTACGGTCCAATATGCGCAAATATCAAAAGGAACCGAGATCTTTGGATTATCAACTTAGATTTCAAGTTTCAACAAAATCGGATAAAAATTGTGACCTCTATAGTGTCCACAACCTTGATATACCATACTTTTACGTTATTTGAGAACGAACGGCGGCCATTTTGTCTGTCAATTTTGGGCCGATTTTCACGAAATTCGAACTCAGCCATCCTTAGGGTGTAACAGTGATATAATAATATGTTTTTTAAAATCGGATAAAAATTATGACCTCTATAGGGTCCACAAGCTAAAAATGCGATTTTTGGTACAATCAGGGGCCATAATTCAGGAAGTTACGGTCCAATATGCGCAAATATCAAAAGGAACCGAGATCTTTGGATTATCAACTTAGATTTCAAGTTTCAACAAAATCGGATAAAAATTGTGACCTCTATAGTGTCCACAACCTTGATATACCATATTTTAACGCTATTTGAGAACGAACGGCGGCCATTTTGTCTGTCAATTTTAGGCCGATTTTCACGAAATTCGAACTCAGCCATCCTTAGGGTGTAACGGTGATATAATAATACGTTTTTTTAAATCGGATAAAAATTATGACCTCTATAGTGTCCTCAAGCTAAAAACGTGATTTTTGGTACAATCAGGGGCCATAATTAAGGAAGTTACGGTCCGATATGCGCGAATATCGAAAGGGACCGAGATCTTTGGATTATCAACTTAGATTTCAAGTTTCAACAAAATCGGATAAAAATTGTGACCTCTATAGTCTCCACAACATTGATATACCATATTTTTACGCTATTTGAGAACGAACGGCAGCCATTTTGTCTGTCAATTTCGGGCCTATTTTCACAAAATTCGAATTCAGCCAACCTTTGGGTGTAACGGTGATATAATTGAACGGTTTTTTAAATCGGATAAAAATTATGACCTCTATAGGGTCCACAAGCTAAAAACACGATTTTTGGTACAATCAGGGGCCATAATTCAGGAAGTTACGGTCCGATATGCGCTAATATCGAAAGGAACCGAGATCTTTGGATTATCAACTTAGATTTCATGTTTCAACAAAATCGGATAAAAATTGTGACCTCTATAGTGTCCACAAGCTAAAAACGTGATTTTTCGTACAAACAGGGGCCATAATCCATGAAGTTTCGATCCAATACATGCCAATATCGAAAGGAACCAAGATCTTTTGGAGATAAACCTATATTTCAAGTTTCGTCAAAATCGGATAAGAATTGTGACCTGTAGAGTGTCCACAAACAAATTGTGGATGGACGGACGTCCGTGGGCGTATAAAAATGGTTCGATTGATCTAAAATTGTGGCACTGGGGTTTGGAGGGGTTATCCATCATACATAAAAAAAATGGTGAAAATCAGTCACCCACCATTCTTAATAATTCATTTCTTAATACCAATATTCTATCTATGTAAGTAGATAATTTTAACAAAATGTTTTCATTGCATATGTTAAAAATAAATTATGAAATTCATATTTTTAAAAAATGTAGTTACTTAAAGATAAACTTGAGACTAGAATTTTTTCTTTTTATGAATAGGAATAATGCAAAAACTCCTAAATAAAAAAAATTGATGAAAATTGGTGATTCCATTATCGATATATATTTAGTTTGGAAAACCCCCTTTGCACCGGCCTTGTAAAATCCAATTAGCTGGATAAAACAATGGTTTTTTGATATTGTATTCCATTAATCATTGTATATCAAACTATGTGTGGTCATATAAATATACATTTTGATTGAATATTTCTACTTACAATATAGGGTTCTTGATCACTATATCCTATAGGTGGTGCTTCTATTTGATAGATACTGTGAGATTTCTTGCACTGAAACAGCAAATAAAATAAACATGAGTTAATCACCAATTAATGAGTTGGGTTAGGCTATAAATATCTTATAAATAAAAAAGGTGGGGACCCTTCGTGACTAAATTTTATTCTATGGCCATCCGTTGCGAAAGTTCTTAAATGCGAATCCATTTTGTTTTAAAGCGATAATTTCATATTTTTAAGTTATATTCTTAAAATGTATTAAAATAAAGCCTTAAAATAGATGTTATCTTTAAACAGTTCTACCTTGTTAAAGAATAATCCTATTAAATCCTATAATTCACTATTGCCAGTTGAGAAATTGGCAAAAATATCATTTTCAACTTCAAATTCAAACGTTTGAAGATAGCTATTCCATGGGGGGGGGGGGGGGGGAAGAATAGAAAAACAAGGGAGGTAATTGTGTTATTATTTCCGGGGTGAATGCCTATGATCGTATAATAGTGAGTTGACAACCTATTGAGCAAAAGACATAGAAATAATTATGTTTTTACTTTCTTAGAAAATATGAAATTCTCGCTTTAAATTGATTCAAATATTATCCAACGTGTCAGGATCAGTTGTGAAAAGCCAAATTATTTGTATCTTAACATTTCTACTTGTCCTGCGAGATGAAAAGGTATTTGATCCGGTTTTGGTCCGTTATATTTAATATCTGCAAATTGATCTGTTAAGAATTGCGGCCAGTAGGCGACACAAAAGGCACACAAACATTGGGCGTGGCTCTGTCTCAGGGGGTCAGGCATGTACCAAAAATAATAGAGGTCAGTCTTAGGGTATAAGGAATAAGTATTAAAAAAGTTTTCAAGACGATCAATTAAGCATTGCAGGCTGTAAGTGACATACAGACAAACAAAAAGAAAATGGGCGTGGTTCTGTCCCTGGGGGTTGGGCATACACTACAAACAATAGGGATGTTCCTTAGGATAGAAGGAATAAGTATGCAAATTTTCAAGGTGATATGTTAAGAAATGCGGTCTGTAGATGACAAACAAATAAATACAAGAAATGGGCGTGGCTCTGCCACTGGGGGTCGGGCATGCACCAAAAACAATAGGGATCATCCTTAGGGTATAAGAAATTCATATGAAATTTTTTCAAGGCAATCGATTAAGAATTGTGGCCTGTAGGCGACACACAGATACACAAAAAGAAATTGGGCGTGGCTCTGCCCTGGGGGTTGGGCATGCACCCCAAACGATAGGGATGTCCTTAGGGTACAAAGAATAAGTATGCAAAGTTTCGAGATGATACATTAAGAATGCGGCCTGTAGATGACAAACAAACAAATACAAGAAATGGGCGTGGCTCTGCCCCTGGGGATCGGGCATGCACTAAAAACAATAGGGATCATCCTTAGGGTATAAGGAATAAGTATGTAAAGATTCAAGATGATCACTTAAGAATTGTGGCCTGTAGGCGACACACAGACACATAAAAAGAAAATGAGCGTGGCTCTGCCCCTGGGGGTTGGGCCCAAACGATAGGGATGTTCCTTAGGGTACACAGAACAAGTATGCACAGTCTCAAAATGATACATTAAGAAATGTGGTCTGTAGACGACAAAAACAAAATATGGGCATGGCTCTGCACCTGGGGGTCGTGCATGCACCAAAAACAATAGGGATCATCCTTAGGGTATAAGGAATAAGTATACAAAGTTTGAAGAAAATCGAGTAAGAATTGCGCCCTGTAGGCGACCCACAGACATACATACACACACACAGACAGAGGCGACGGCATAATACTATGGCGGTATATTAGATTCAAAATTCTAACATCCGTTCATGTAACTTCTAACCTTAATTCATGTAACTTCTAACCTTAATTCATGTAATTTCTAACTTCAATTCGTGTAATTTCTAAATTAAGACAATGTATAATCCAACTTCTTTATTTGTTCAGTGTAAATTTTAATTCTGTTTCGTCTTATTTCTATTGTTAAGACGAAAAATGTCTACTTCACTGCCACTTTACATGTTAATCATGAACGTCGAGCAAATTTAGAATTTTGATACCTCTACCTAGCAACCATCATTATGACGTCGTTTGGTGTCGCCACCGTGTGCTCAATTTGGTGATTGAGCACTGAGCGGGATCATTATGTTGCCACAAACGACTCACTCTTCGTCAGGTTGAATGGTTTGGTGGAGTGTAAAAATTGAAAACAACATTGAACGTGATATGGTTTGCAAATACTGTTTTAAATATAAGCTAAACAGCATTTGTTATTTTTTTTTAAAGACAAGTGCAGGATTTGGAGAATTTTATTTTATTTTTATTTTACAGTTAAGCCAATTACTATTTATATACTGTTGATCTATAAATTAGTCTGTTAATGCTCTAAAATATGTCTCTTTATACTACCCGAACGACTAGCCACTGTCCGTGTCAGACCCTCGTCTTGTATCAATAACAAGGGACGGATAACCACGCCGGAATATAGCGGTTATATCATAAAAAAAAATATATGTCTATGGGTTATATAACATCGTCAGCTAGTATATACACACTGGCAAAACTATGCTTTATAATATTTCTGACATTATTAGTTCCGTCCTTGTGATTTGCGGAGGTTGCCGTTATTGTAGGCATATACAGTGTCTAGTAGTTCGGGTTGGACGAAAACCGTTGCAGCTGTTATTCGTAATAAAAGTAGACCATAAATTTCACTCATGGCACACCGTAAGTTCGTCTTCATTAGCCTAGATGGTGTAGAAAAGTAGGACGATAAACCGCTATCTATGAATTTCGGTATTGCTTTATGCAACTTGAATAAAATATTTTTGGAAAAAAAACTACCATAAAGTTAGTCAGGTCGGTGTAATGAAGGAATCAGAAATAAAAACTCCATCGCTATCCACATGAACAGATTATCCCAGACCCCCGAAAAGGCTGTTTCATCCCTACAGTATGAGGTTTCTAAATTTATATCATTGAACCATATCAAGAAAAAGTTTATCATTTTTGTTAGAGTAGTAATAGAATACAGATTAACAGTAAATAAATATTATTAATGGTTTAACTGTCTTGAAGAAAATTGAAAAAAAAAAATGCTGTTTGGCTTTTATTTGAAGTAGTATTTACCAACCATTTCACGTTCGATGTTGTTTTCAATTTAACCATCGATTCCCTGGTTGTACTTGTCAAGGAGAAGGGTCGTCTGTCCAACCTCGTTGGTTTTCTCCGGGTCCTCCCACTGCTAAAGACCTCTACGCGCAAGCGAATTGTTGAAATAAATTGAACCCTATGTTAGTCCAGAAATGACCTAGTTTGTGCCAAGTGGTCGTTACCCCCCCCTCTCTCTCTCTCATCACTCCGCCCAATCACCAACCAGGCGAAGAGCGAGTCGTTTATATAAACATAATGGTCCCTACCAGGTGCGCAATCACCAAATGAGCACGCAGTGGCGACATCAAACGACTTGATAATGATGGTTGCTAGGCAGAAGTGTAAAAATTCTAAATGTGTAAAGAATCAATGAAGAAAACGTTCTTCGTCTAAATAAAAGAAATAAGATGAAATAGAATTAAAATTTACACTGAACAAATAAAGAAGTTGGATTATACATTGTCTTAATTTAGAAATTACACGAATTCAAGTTAGAAATTACATGAATTAAGGTTAGAAGTTACATGAATTAAGGTTAGAAGTTACATGAACGGAGGTTAGAAATTAGACGATAGCATGTTAGAATTTTGAATCTAATATACCGCCATATAATACGTCCACATTATGAATGTGGATGTATAAAAAAGGTGTAGTAGATTTTATTTATCACCCAATCTTTTCTTACATTCACAAATAAATAAATAAATAAATATAATTCTTTGCTATAGATTTCACTTATACTGAGCCTGATTACATTACGGCATAGTGATACATCATTTTTTGACAGCAATTCAACCATTGCAAAGTCCTTTATATTGACCCAGTGTTTCCATCAAGGTGAATTAAATAAAAATAGTTCACTTTTAACAAAAAAGAAGTTACTTTTAATAAAAAATGAACTGTTCTTTGAAAATAAAAACCAGTGGCTGCAAGGCATGATACGGACACATTTTGCAAGAGATGGAAAGAGAACAAGCTAAAAACAAACACGATTTTTTGTACAATCAGGGGCAATAATCTGAAATGTGCGAATATCAAAAGAGACTGAGATCTTTGGGATATAAAAATATGTTTTGAGTTTCATCAAAATCGGATAAAAATTGTGACCTCTAGAGGGTCCACAACCTTCATATTATATACTTTTACTATTTGAGTACAAAGAGTAGCCATTTTGTTGGGCAGTTTCATTTCAATTTTCCCAAAATTCGAATTCAACCTTCATTATGGTGAAATGGTGATATATTTGAACAGTTTTTAAAATCGGAAAAAAAATTGTGACCTCAAGAGAATCTGCAAGCTAAAAATGTGATTTTTTGTACAATCAAGGGCCATAATTCAGGAAGTTATGATCCAATATTTGCTTACGAGGGGGGGGGGCCATTTTGTACGGCAGTTTTGGTCCGATTTTCACAAAATTAAAACTCAACCAACATAACGTTTTTTTAAATCGGAAAATAATTGTGACCTCTCGAGAGACCACAAGCTAAAAATGTGATTGTTCGTACAATCAGGGGCCGTATTTCTGGAAGTTGCGATCTGATAAGCGAGAATATTGAAAGGAACCAAGATCTATGGGTTATAAACATGATATCAAGTTTCATCAAAATCGAATCAAAATTGTGACCTCTAGAGGGTCTACAACTTTGATATACCACGTTTACACTATTTGCGTACGAGGGGCGGCCATTTTGTCTCACAGTTTTGGTCCGATTGTCACGAAATTTGAACTCAACCAACATTGTTATGTAACGGTGATATAATCGAACATTTTTTTTAAATCGCATAATAATTGTGACCTCTAGAGGGACCACAAGCTAAAAATGTGACATTTCATACAATCAGGAGGGGGTGGCTATACTATATACCGGAAAACACCATGTTATACT